GCGGGCCGTGGCCCGCGCCTTTTGAAGGCAAAAGGATGCTTGCGAGCCTTTGTGTGCTTGTGTGCTTGTGTGCCAGTGTGCTTGTGTGCCGCAGCCGTTTTGTTCCCGCAGCCGTTTTGTTCGCTTTGCTGCTATGGCTTTCGCTGCCATGCCGACCTTGCACAGGCCGTGCTGCGACGTGCTGCCCTTCCTCTTCTCGGAGGAGTGGCAACTGCCCAGCAACGCTCAGCTGCGGCGCATAGCCGTGCGCATCGCGGAGTCAGGCTTCGCAAAGCACGCCTGCTTTGCCATGCTCGAGGATGTCCTGCACCTCCACTGCGCGAGCAGGTGCCTGCGCTTCCGGGCGCGGTTTGTGGTGCAGCGCGCTCGCACCTTCCTGCGGCTGCTGAAATCTGACCTCCGGTGTGAGCTTCCGCGAGCCCTTTCGCTTGCCTTCACCGTGGTGAATTTGAATGTCAGCACACGTGGGATGCTGGCGGCGGGCCGGGCGGCCAGGCTCGCCGAGCTCCACCCCACCGCAACAAGCCGCGAGATCGCTGACATGATGGAGGCGGAGCAGCTGCCCTTCGTGAGGGAGGAGATCCTCGAATACAGCGGCGAGCGCCGCCTCAGGGACGTCTGAGCTGTAGGGAAGCGAATCGCACAGGCCTCCCCGCTCGGCAAAAGTGCAGCGCTGGGTAGGACAACTGGGTAGGACAACTAGGTAGGACAACTGGGTAGGACAACTGGGTAGGACAACTAACCGGCGTAGAGCCTTGAAGCCGCAACACGCAAGAAGGGCCCAGCAGGTTGTGTTGCAGCTTTAAGTGCTCAAACTCTGTGTGCCTCTACAGCCATGGCAGCCGCCGTGGGCCAATTCGTTTTGCAGTGGCTCTTCGAGGCCACCTATCCGCTGCACGCGGAGTTCACGGAGCAGCCGCAGCCGCTGCGCCGCCGGGAGCTCCGCTGGCAGTGCCGCCATGACTACGCCGTGTGGGGACGAACCGTCCTGCAGTGCCTGCTGGCCGGCGGGGTGCCGCAGCACCGTCGCCTCGAGGTGCGCCTGCAGCTGCAGCGCGCGGGGCGGCTGGCCGGCGTCTGCGAGGAGATCCAGATGCGCGACATCCTGCGTGCGAGCTGGATCCTGGAGCGGCCCATCGCTCCGGCGAGCTGGTGCCTTGGAGCGCTGGGCTTCGTGGGAGAGACCGAGGAGTACCTCCAGCTGGTCGACGCCTCCATCCGCGACCGTCCCGCCGGCGGCCCTGAGCTTCCGGTGGACGAGCCTGTCGAGCAGCCGCCGGGCTTGCTCCAGGCCACGCTGCGCATGGAAGAGATGATCCAGGCTCACCTGGAAGACGACGACCTGGAGGTGGTGCTTGTCGAAGAGTACGAAGACGAGTGAAGC